CAACCTCTGGCTCAGATCCTCAAAGATACTTAGGTAGCTGACTCCCCTTGTTCAGGCAGAAATTAGATAGGCAGCTGCCTAAATATGAGTCCAAGCCTTCCCTCTCCCAAGATCCCAACATCCCACCCCCTGCTACACTTATCTAAAAGCACTTTTCCCACAAATGAGGTTTTACTGAACTCTCTCTACTCTGCTTAAGAGCCACCTGGAGTAACAGGTATAGCCAGCATGGAGGATGCTGGTGGAAGGGCGGGCTTGAAAAAGTGGAAGAGAAGAGTTTAAAGAAAGATGGTGCTTGGTGGCTCAGGACTGGGCTGAGATGACAGAAAATGGCAAGGATATGAGAGCAGCAAAGTGAAAGCACTGGAAGGCCCCTTTCTGCATCTCTCTTGCTGCGAGGGCCAGCTTAAAGGGTTAAATAAATGGACACTCTTAATCTAATGTATTTGTACAATGCCCAGCACAAAGGGCCCTGAGCCCATATTAGGGCCTGCTGTATTCCTGCTATAATCCTTAGTATCAGGTTCCAATGCACAGCCCTCTTAAGTTCCAGTCTGGGAGAAGCTCACTGGAGTCCAAATACCTATTGCAGAAACTGCTTTGTGCAAGCTCCCCTTATGCCACATGAAATCCTCAAAGCTATACACATCCCTGCTGGCATTGCTGAAGGAGGTGATGCAGAGAAAGGGAAGAAGAGAGATAGCAAACATGGGTTTCTACCAAATGGGAGACCTGTTGGTAGAAACAAACAGTTAAACTGAGTCTTTCCTCATCAGGCATGTCTGAAAGGATTACAAGCTGGGATCTCTCAGCATGAGTGGGATAACAGGAGTGAAAACAGAACTGGAGAACGGAGAGAAATGACATTTCACAAGCTACTATATAGCATCCTTGGACATGACAAGATCCTCCACCATAACAACAACTTACATCTTAGCAGCACCCACTAGGGCTGGGTTTTCGTAACTGCCCTGCTCTAACCTGGCCCTATATTTTTGAATTTGTCTTAACTCTCACTTACCAACACCCTTTTCCTGCACTGAACACCCAGGCCTGCTCAATCTCATCTTAGCCGGGCCTTGTATATCAGGTAAGCAGCGATGTTTCTAGTAAGCAGAGTGGGGGATGCTGCAGAAGAGTATGGCTCCTTAGTCCTTGGCTCACTGAGTGACATTGCCCATGCTGGGGAACTGGAATGTTGGAGGTCCTAGCACATTCACATCAGGGCAGAGTTTCCACAAGTTAAGCAATCCAGGAGCACTGGAAATGGAGGGGAGTCTTTACTGCTGTGCTGTATGTTGCTTTTTGAATAGTCAAGTTGCTTTCCCTTCATCCTGGGCCAGACTGAGTTCTCGGCTACACTGCTGCAATCATATTGAATGCAGTCAAATTGGCATGGATGCAGAACTGGGCTTCTACTATGTGCAACTGGAAAGGAGCTTTGGAAGCCAGAATCCCCTTTGCTTACAGAGCCCCTCAGCACATGGCTGCTTTTGCAAATGTCACAGAAGAAGGGGTCCAGGCATAAATGTGCTTGAAGAAACAGAAAAGATCCATTAAAAATGAGCACCTCTTTCCCTCTCCTGCCCCCACTCGCTCTTTTAGCACATATGTACAGGCATGCAGCTCAGATCCTCAAGGTTGGCTAGCGTGCTAACAAATTGATGCAGCCTCTCACCTTCAGCCATAGAGCAGAGCTGCATGCATACTAAACTATAGATGACATCCTGTAGCATCAAAGAGATGACCCAGGAAGCGAATGCCTTGTACATTCCAGATAACTACTCATGGTAGCATTTAAAGCTCACACTTGCTGGAGGATTTAGAGATGGAGATAGTACTTACGGAGTTAGGCCCTTTGTACACTACGGTGTGTTGGCTTTATATATTTTAATCATTTTAACATTTAATGCTTCTCAATTAAAGTGATTTCCTGGAGTGGATGCCAAGCTTAGTTTGAATGCGCATTAACCACTTTCTGTATCGGTAGTTAAAGGCACTGAGGGATTTAAACAGCAATCCACAGGGCTGCTGGGGAAAGGTTTGGCTGAATAAAGCAGATTATAAACAATAATATATGTCTTTCTCATTTTTTTTTCTTCTCTTTTTGGAAGGGCTCCAAGCTCACAAACAGACCTAAAGTGCTATAAACATATCCAGGCCTAAGCTGAATGTACTTCATGAAAGCTGTGGGCACTGCTGCCACTTTTCATCTATGCGTGTGTGTATTTTAAGAGAGTATTTTATTACACAAAATGTCCATCAAACTCAACTTCCCTTTGCCATATTAAAACGCAAGCAGGGATAACCTTCAATGTGAAGAGAAAAATAAATTCTGGGTGAGGACAAGGTGGCTGTTGCCTGGAAAGATAATGCATGAAGGTGACCTCCCTATTATTTTTTAACCTTTCTCACCCCTTGTTGGCACAAACTGAAAACTGCTTACTGGTACTGAATCCGCTTGAACATCTTCATTTCTGACCACGAGATTCAATCAGAAATAAGCAGTCACATAACAAAAATTACCTTTGGTTTTGTACATCCCCCTCCACACAGCTGGACCCAAAAGCAATCAACAAGCTCTCTGCACTATACAACAAGATGCACGTTCAAAATCTTTCTATTTTATGTATACATCCTGCATATATGGAATTAATATCCATGTAAAAAACTGCAGAGTCCAGTGATAAACTGTGGAACTGGGTGCTAAATTTGTCATTTCTGACCATACCAGTTTACTAAGATACACATTTATTAGTAAACTATCAACACCTGATACAGGCAATATCTGCATGGGTGGAGTTATTAACATTCCAGACAGGAAGAGAAAAAATATCACATTCCCCTGCAGAGCACAATCAAAGAAAGAGTCCTTGTTAGCCAGCTGAGTGTTCAGATTCCCATAGCTAAGTTAGTGGACGGGCATTAAGAGTAGTCTTACAATTCATTTTAGCTGTGACCAACTTCAGACTTAGCTGTACTCCCAGCAAGACATTTTCCTATACACCATCATATTCTGCAAGGCTGTCATCAGAATGCAGTTTGGGGGAAAAAGGGGACATGGCCTAATGTCTGTTATAACATCTACCTCCTACAGTGGGAAGCAGCGTATCAATTTTAAACAGCAGCCTTCTTAGTCCTTGCTTCTGTAGATCCCGAGATAGGGGGTGGGAGGTGTTTTCAGTGGCATTCCTTTAACATACCACTGAATGGGATGGAACATCAGTAGGTACCTGCCAACACTCAGCTGCACATCGCACACATCACCTGGCCAGACTAGCCTCCAGTGCTTTTCTGACATTAGGTGATAAAGCCCAGCAGAAAGTTCAACCCTTCCTTTCACAAGCACAGGATTCATGACCTTCTAATATGCAAAGGGTTCAGTTAATCAGAAAATAATTGTGTGCAACTCCTGCTGCTGTTCTTCTGTGCAACATGCACCATTCATATCTTCCAGGATTTCATAAAAGATAGAGTCTGAAGCAACAAGCTGACATTCTTATTCTGTACAGTAACCACCAGTTACATTTGTGAGGCCACAAGACTATGCAAGCCATTGCTGCATCTGGGCTATAGTAGATACTGATGTTCCTGATCTGACAGCATGCATGCACATTGCCATGTTACTAAAGCCATCTTGGGCTATTGTTTTGAAAGCTCATATTTGTATCCACAGGTAGGCAGAGCACAGAGCTGCACAAGCAATTTCTTCATCTTATTTGTCTTCCAAAATAGGTTTATACATTCTCCAATACATATATGTTTGTATCAACAAGTGCATCTGTTTCAGTATTTTAAATGGGTCAACTGGGTGTTAACTAACACAGAGGCAAAAAGGAATCTTTTTTGGTCAACCACACTTTAAAAATGTACAAGAACATGCTATTTATAAATGAAATTTTTTTGAAGTGTTAAATTAGGGCAGCTACAAATCTGGCAAAAGTCAATGGAAAGATTCCCCTTTCTTTCAGCAGATGCTGGGTCACCACCTCAGATCTGATGTCATCTGAAGAATGAAGTCAGTTTAGTTGGAAAACAGGTAAACCGTTGGAAACAACTGGGCACAAACTTCAGTCATAATGTTCCATCCATGTGTCTGTACAGGTCACACCGTAAGCGTGAGTAGGGACTATATTCACTGTGTGTTCTGTTCTTCCAGGGGTCAAAAAAACCCACAGAGAAAAAATGTGGAGCAGTGTCCACACAGGTAGCGTGCGCTGCTCAAAAGTGGAGCCAGGCCGCCCAGAGCCCCACTGTGGCTGCCAACCAGGTTCCACGTGGCAGGATCACTGCTGCTGTGGTCCCAGGTGCCCCCCAGGAAAGGCTGCCACGCACAAGAGCACGGGCATTTCCTGGGGACAAGTAGCAGCAGCGCAAGGTGAACTGCTGCTAGATGTCCCTGGGGAACCAAACATCCACACCACGTTACTACGTTCAGTGAGTCAAAATAACATCTTCTGTAGTCAGGCCTTAACAGAAAGGGCTAGGCTCAATGTCAAATGGATTTATACTTCAGTTACATTTGCACAGTTCCATCCACCTTCTAAAATCCCCTGCATCAAATGACTATTAAGAGCACAGTGATCTCTGACACTAACAAACATGGTTTGGCGTTGCTGTACAGATAAGTCTGAACTGTGTGGGCTTTAATCCTGTCCTGACTAGTGCTAGTTCCCTGTATTTTGAAAGAGCCTTAACACTGGATGAGGACATGGTTAACACACAGTAGCACTCTCCAACCCGGCTAAAAAGAAACTGCAGTTATATGCACATCTGATGCACCTCTACAATCCTGTCCATTGGTCTATTAACTAACCAAACAGTAATCACTCCTAACAGCAGTCTAGATGTTCACAGCTCCCTCCAGGGCCATTTAGTCCCTGAGAGGTTCTTGGTAGCTGTCACAAATCAATATCAGTGGCACCTGACCCCAGAGAGTTATCCTTAAAGACTTCCCCAGGATAAGGAGCTGGAAAAACAAAAAACGAAACAAAAACAACTGAGACTGAAGAAAAGATTCTTACTCCTATATTTAACTATAAGAACATATAAGAAACAGTCATACAAATGGCAAAACAATTCCTTAAGATTTCACACTAGGTATGGAGAGTGAGAGTTCAAAGTAGACAGACGTCTGTCCTCCTTTCACATCATTTCGCAGGCCCTAGGATACTTTATATCTGTGATACAGAGGGACCCAAGCAAAAGAAAATGCTTATTTCCCTGAGCTGATCAGAAGAATGCTCAGGCTTTGTTTGCAGGGTAAGGGTTTGTGAAAGGCCTCCATTCCCTCAGTTTTGCAGGACTCTGGTCATCCCCCCGCAAAAAAGTCAAACCATTTTCATATTCTGCTCTTGCTTTTATTTATGGCATTTGGTCAGGCCCAGGGAAAATCAGCTTGGCTTCCTGACAGGACTAAACAAACCTCACCACACCTGATCTCCCCATGGGTCCCATTTGGTCACACCTGAATCTTCAGAGCTGATCTGTTCAACAGTTACTAATCATATACATTTTCCAAATGAGCAGCCATGTTTAATACAATAAAATGTTGTTTAGAGTCCCCTCCCCTCCCAGAATGGTGATAAATTCCAGAGCATGCAAACCTGAATCTTTTTGAGCACAATACATATCCAATACCATCGCCAGTCCAAAGATGTAAGCCAGACTTGCCAGACCCCAACCACCTGAATATTACGTGCCGTTCTCAAAAATAAACAATGCATATTGCAGAGGATCGTGGAGGACAGTGGGGGGTATTGCAGAGTTCGTCCATTCTCAAAGCACTGAGCTGATGCTGTCCGCAGTCACCCAGCCTTTTGGCTAGGTTTTGCCAGTTGTGTGCTGCTGCAGCATGGATGTGATCACTTTACAGTCTGTCACTTCCTCCGGCAGGCAGCCGTCTTGGTCCTGGAGAGTGGGGTCTGCTCCAGACGTCAGCAGCAGTTCCACAATGTCAATGAACTCGCAGGCAGAAGCTGGAGGAGAAGGCAGAGTTAGTATGGGGTTGCCAACAAATGGGAATTCTAGTTCAGCAGGGGCCAGCATTTACAAACTGGAAGATAAAAAAAGTGGCCACCTCAAGGGAGATTTCACAATGCTCCACAATTGTGCTAGGCATCCTATCCTTACACTTGATGGACATTTACTGGTGCTAGGATTTGTCACTTCAGCTTCTGGCAGTGCAGAGCAAATCCTTGTTTGGGGTAGAATTCAGCACTAATGTATTACTTGGATTTGGAGTGAACACTGCTAAGTAAATGGAAAATACAGCCTTGAAGATTCCTGTTGTCCTGAACCCTTGACCGGTACTTTGGAACAGCACAGCTAACTGGCTGAGGCCAGCAGCAGTGGGATCTAGCAGCAAACATGAGCCGTCAGGTGTAGACACCAAATGTAGAAGTACTGCATTAAGGGGTCCAGGGAAGGCAGGTAGATTTGGTCAGCTGGAAGAAGGAGGAATGAAAGGAAATAAGATTTTGAAAGTCATAACCTATTTGGTCTTATTTGCATTACTGCTGCACCAGTGTGGCCTGGGCATGGACCAGGGCACCTCGGTGCTCAGTATTGTATAAACACAAAGCAGAAAACCAATCCTTGTCCATAAAAGCTAGCAATCTAAGCATAAAACAGGACATAGAAGATGCTTATAGATGGCCTGGGGACATGGGGAACCTGGACACCATGCTAGGCAGTGGGTCTCAGCAGCTTAGCCATCATCCAGTATTTTTGTAGGTGCTCCAGAAAAGGCAAGTGTTTTGAAGAGCACTGGAGAGGGAAAATGTAGTTGTCCAGGTGCTTACAGGGAAGTCCTCACCAGTGGAAGGGGCAGTGTGGGAAAGAAGCCACAAAAGTTCAGTTTTCAGGTATGTACAAGTGAGTGATGGAGGCTGGTATCAGGCGATCCAGTACTTGTCACTTAACTGTCTTAGTTTCTGGCTGTTTCTGTGCAACCTTCATGAGTAAAATAATCTCAGTTTACTGACACTTTCTGGAGCTGCCTTGCTTTTTTTTTTAAACAAACACAAATGGTAGAAAAATCCTTTAACATTGACGTGTTTATTAACCAGCTTCATACCCGTGGCCTGTACTCTGAGTTTGAGCAAGACTCCAAGAAGGCCCCTTTTGCTGCTCCCCTACCAGAAAATGGTTTACAGGCTGCCCCAAAAGACTGGATGAATCCTCAGCTGGTGCCAAGTTGTGCTGGCTCTATGCCACCCCTTCCTTTCTATTCAGCATGGGGACCTGGCCAGGTAAAAGCTGGCATGGATGAAACATCCTCTCCCCCCTAATCCCCAGCCAACATAATGGCCCTTGAGGGATGGTTATAAACTACAGTAATTGAAAGTAGCATTTAGCTCATTTAAGATTAGACTAGAGGCCAATGCAGGTCCAGCTGCCCCCCTCTGCAGAGCACATCCTTGCTACCTGCGCTCCTCAATTCACCCTCTCTGCTCCAGCCCAGCAGAACTGGCCAGAGCTGAAGATCAGAGTCAAGCTGTGTTCGACTCAGGGGTATCTTGCCTTGGTGAGTGCCTGCTTTCACACGTGGAACTGGGCAGGGTTTGTGTAGTTCCCTGCTTCCTTTTGCACACATCATAACCAATCAGGGCTTCTTTGGAGTCAGGTCTATTTCAGGGTCTCTTTGCTACTTGCCGACTACCTTGCCTTTGTCTGTGAATTTCCCATTCAATAGACATTGCAATGCCAGAATGGCATGTGAGCCCAAGTATGCATGCCAGCAGCTTGGTGCCCTTACACTCAGAGTGGAAAGATCACTGGGGAGCACAATCACTATTTAAATATTACCATGCATGCCCAGCTGCCATTTTCAAATTCTCATTGTTTTGCCAAATCCAAGCCAAACATAATCCAGACATCACCAACACCTTGCCAAGTTCCAGCTACTTATCCACTTAGCATGAGGCTGTTAAAAAAAAAAGCTTAATTTAAAAATGGTAAAAGGGCTGAAGCTCTGGCACCTGGATTCTAACTTAAAGCATCCTGGTAACAGACTTCTAGCACATCCTGAAATGTCTCAGTCCTGATCTGCCTCCTGAGAGTCAAGATGGCAGCTTCCTGCCCGACTGTTAATTATTGGTGTTAATTATATTTCAGGCACTTTAACAACTTTAGAGACTTACACTTCTTTGCCATTAAATGCTGTAATTAGAGTATCTTTTACATTACACTGCAGTTTTCTACTGACCCAAAGGGACAAGCAGCAAAGTTTAATTAAAATAAATTTAAGTGTGATTGGAGCATCTATTTTAAAAAAAAGGGAGAGAGAGAGACTGATGGGACTGATGACAAAGCAAGCAGCAGGTTGGATACGACTTTGGGGGGGGAGAGAGAGACAGAGGGAGAGAGAGAATGAAGCAGTACAGAGATAGCAATGCCCGACAGGGCTGCCAGGAGCCTTTAAGAAGAAAGAAATTTCCAAAAACCAGAGTTAGCCACACAAAGGCAGTCAACCTCATGGCTTCCCAGGCAACCTGAGCAGCTTGTACAAAACCTAAGCCACCTCAGATCCTACCTCTCCAAAGAAATGACAGATCTTTGTTCACTCTTGTTGTCACAAACACACACTGGAAAGGACTAAGATGGACTTTGGCATTGACTATGGGCTTGATCACTGGAGGTGTTCGGCACCAACCAAGTGCCTGAGATCCCTCACTGCTCAGCTGGTATCCAGCACCACTCAGGAACGGCTCTAAATAAGGGGATGCGTTTGTGTTGTTGCTGTGCCGGGAAATACAAATGGTCATCAACCCATCTCTGAAAAGCACAAACAAGTCCCTGGAGATTAGAACAGCTGCTGAATTTATGGCACCCTGGGAACCTCTATTTGTCAAGTGCCAGAGAGGCAGCCCTGACACTGGCACAGGTGAAGATGAATTTTCATTCAGCACAGTTCGCCTTCCGACTCCATTAATCCTCTGGGTTTTGATGATGAATTTCATTTTTTTTATTTATTTTCACTACAGCATCCCCTCCCACAGCACCGAGAGTACAGAACAGATGGTGCTTTACAAGGATGACAGAGCGCCCATGAGGATACAGAGCCTGCCCACTCTGAAGTCACGTGCTTGCAATGGCTAGGAGAAGCCTTGATTTCCTCTGGGAGACGCAGAGGCAATGATTTTAGTATTCCCAGCGGGTAGGTGAGTAGATGGATGGATGAAGGGGAGTTTGGTGAGGGGGAGCAGAGGACTAACAGACCATTTATGAGGGAGAGCATGCTCATACTGATCAACTCTGCAAATAAGCATCACATTTAGCCACAAGTACCAATATCCAGAAGACAGTGGGGCAGAGGCAGGTGGGTGCTTTCGGTTCTCATAAATGCAGCCTGTTTAGGAAGGACAGACTGGAGTGCTGGCCTCCACTTAACCTCCGATTAAACCCAGGGTCAGAGCCAATCGGAACAAGCCAGGATTTATAACCCATCTAAGGGGGTAGTTTGACACCTGCCGTAATCAGGAGAGCTGTCACTACAAGGACAGCTGTCAGGCCAAACTCACTCATAAAAGTGGATGGATAAGCCCCAAAAGCAGCTTCTGCCTTACTGTCCTCACTTTGTGGGATTTAACCATTTTGTTAAGGCTGCAAGAAAAAGGAAGGCCATGGAAAAGAGATCCTGCTCTCAAAGCCAGGAGGAGACCGTTTTACTTGCATTCCTGTACGTCTCTGCTGCAATTACCAGCCCCATGCTGGACCACTAGCAGGAATCATAATGGTAGTGAAGTTTATTAGTAAATTCTAGGTCTGATTAATTTTAATTGATCAAGGACTCAAGTCAAATTAATTTATTAAATTAGCCAGGTATTTTAAAGCCTCAGCTTATTAGAAGTGCTAGGGAATGGGAGAGGGAAATGAAGAGAAAACCATTTCATAGGCTGGGTTCAGAGATGTGCAGACTGTGACGGTGCTGAGGGGACGACATATAGAGCTGGAGTGGACCTACGTGGCAGGGATCCCAGGCAGCATTCCTACCGATCAGTTATAGCAAGAAAGGATGAGAGAATCCCCAAATGGAGGGGGAAGAGGTGAGGGGAGGAATAAACATCGAGTCAATAAAGTGACCAAAGGTAAAATGTGTGTCACACTTGAAAGTACTTTTTCTTTCGGCGTTACAAGTTAAAATATGACTCTCAAGTTGCACGTAGAGTGGCTTTTACTCAAAGGGACACCAGCACCTCAATCACACAGCCAGCTGATATTCGTTTACCCACCATTGTTACTGTAACTTGAACAAAGAGGAAAGAAAAATCTCCCCACCTTTTTTTCAATTATGATGTACCTCTGAGGGCATTTTGTGCACAGTTATTTTCACTGTTTCTCTGACAGCATCTCCCTTTGTGTGTGGGTGGGTGTTTCCGAAAGCAAGAGGAAAACTGTGATTATAAATGAACAAAACTGGCAGACCGATGCAGGGACATGAACAAACTGAAACCACGTTAGTTTTGTTTTTCTTTTGCAAACAACCAGATTTCAGGTTGACCTTTTAATTCAATCCCCAGCCATTGTGACCAAAAGTCTGAGAACAAATAGTCTGCATACATGTAATACAATTTTCATTTACTGCTTCAGACAGATTATCACTGGATAGTTCAATCATACTAAAAAAAAAATTACCATTCAACTGGGCAAAAAACCTGTGATTAGTTCAGGCACCTTAGCTGGGTACGTGGGATAGCATGAGGATCCTCCCCTTCAGAACAGAAACTACATGGAAGTGACTCCAGCCATGGTGGGAGAATTTTGCCCTCGGTAAGTAAAATGGAAACATTTGAACGAGAACAAAGACAAAACACAATGTGGTGTTGAAAGGCATTATTTTGACATCATAAGCACCACCGTCTCCTGCAGCAAACAATGAGATATTTCAGTCAGAATGACTGAATGTCTGAAATAAAAGGAACAATGACCCCAACATGAGAAACAAGCTGAGAAAAGTCGCATGTTGTTTTACTAAATAAACCAGAGGTCCAGATGCCCAGAAGTTACATATGTTTAGATCCAGAGGCAAACACTGCATCTTGGGCTGACCTCCACAAAGTAATTTTGCCAACCTGCTAATGTTATTGCAGCATGAGATGGACAGAAGAGGTACAAATGTGACAAGATTGACCACATCAGAGTATAAAATAATGGGAAATTACTTAACTTAGGGAAACATTCTAGTATATTTGTCCATCTTTGTTGCATTTCCCTTGTGCAACACCTGTTTCTATAATTTTAGTCGCTTTGATTTTTCTCTTGTACATATAACAATCTTCAGTTAAAAAGATTACTGCAGAAGATTTACTTTAAAACCTTCAGTTTTCATAACTCAAGTCAAGTTAATTAGTTTAGCTGTAGGAGAGACAATTCTATAATTTCAACAGATGCAAGAAACTGCTTGTTTGGCCAAGTGAAGAATCTGTTCAGTTGCTGCTGCTGGTGTAAGCTAGACATGTATTTTGTATGGTTAAAGTACAGGACATGTCAGTCTGCAAAAACTGTCCTGGGATAAATCCTAAAAAAGTTTCCCAGATAAGACGCAGTAATAGCTTATCCTAGGATATTGCAGTATGTATGTGTACATTTATGCCAGGACTGCATCATTAATGGGAGAAAAGCAGCATTTCATTCAGTCACTCACTAAATCCTGATTAGAAGGGTAATGTGTGTACATGCCAATCCTGGATAAACACAGGCCTGACTTATCCAGGGACAAATAATGCAATGTCTATTCCTGGCCTATGATACAGTTCCCCCCACACATTACTTCTAACAGGTCGAACATCAACAGTTCTGGTAAGCAAGGACATTCCTGTGTATAGTATCCTGTACACAAAGCAGTACTGCAAACTGCTTTATACAGAAAGGGAATTATTATCTAATGGGAAAAGTTCAGAAAATAAAGAAAAGTCAGTAAACACATGAGAGATGACAACCAAGGCCCTCCAGGGGAGGACAAGAAACAATGGGCACAAACTGATTGAAGATTGCTTCAGACTGGACATAAGGAAAAAGGGGTAAGGTCCCTTCCAGCCCCTAACATCTATGAAACTATGATACTCTGGACACTAGTAGACAGAACAGCCCATTTGAAGAGAGATTGTTTTGGCAAAGTCCAGATAGCTGTGAGAGGAAGATAAAGGTTAGAGATGATGGGGCATTCTTCATCATACCTCAGGGGTGTGGTCATCCCACGACCTATGTTAGCATGGGAGATTCCCAAGGTCACTTGCTGTAACCTCTGCACACTGCTTTCCCACTGGACTCTTGGAGTTAGCTGGCCTTGCTAACACAGCTCCAGCTCCTGGACAGCTCCATGCTTCTAATGACATTGTTTTTCTGTCAGTCTATTTATTCAGTCTGCAAATTCATGTACTCAGTATGGAACAAACTCAAACCCCACTTACCATAATGCAGTGCTGTCTGGCCTTCATTATCCTGAAAAACAAGCACATCCGGTTTTAGAGTGGCATACAGGTTTTAAGGACAAAAGTAAATTCTATTTTTAAATAAACAACTTGACTCAGAACAGTTTACTAAATAACTAGATAAACAGCACAAAACAGTATGCTAAACAGTAGTCAGATTTTCCTGAATGTATCTGTTATAGGCTCAGGAAGCAGTGAACATACATCAGTACATCCTAAGAATGCCTGCATTACATCACAGTATCAGTGCAACTGAGTTCACAGCATAACCATTCCCAAGCACAACAAAATCAATGATTCGAGTCCTACAGCCACACATTGGGTCCCTGGCCAGGTCTGCCACAGCAACATGACACTGGAATGAGGTGTGGTGCATTACAAGAGGTGCTCTCCAGACAAGACCTTCAGTAGCTACTTCAGGAGAGGCAGAACTCCCAGACAATGCTTCTTGCCCTTTACAAATGGGTATTACCTGTTGTTGACAGCCCACTGAGTGATCTGTTGAGATCCACCCTGCTGGGCTGA